TGCCAGGGAAGCACTTATTCTACTGAGCCATCTCCCCAGGCTTAAGACAAATTTTAACAGACATGAAAAATCAAATGAGCAATAATACTATAGTAATGGACTTTTAACACTCCATTGTCACCAAGGGATAGATCAACTAGGCAAAAAATCAGCAAAGAAATTGTAAGGGATGGCGTCTAACATAATGCTCTATTCACTTTTAGAAGTAGAAGAGACTGAGGGAGAATTCAATTTAGTTTAACCCCTGCCTAAAGTATTTACATAGAAGCAGCCTTGCCTAAATTACCCTGTTTCTCACTCCTTCCCCTGCTCTCTTAGAAACTTCACAAACATATAGGAGATGAAGAGACAGGACCCATTTAGGGCAATAAGAAGACAAGATGGGCCAGGGAGATGGCTCAGTAGAATAAGTGCTTCCCTGTCAAGCGCAAGGGACTGAGTTCAATCCAGGTTCCACCAAAAAAACAAAAACAAGACTATTTGCCCATACTAAGCCATAAATTCCTTTGCCCGAGACCTCACACCTATAGGATATAGGGGCATCACAGTCTTGCTCTGACCCTGCACCAATAGGATATAGGGAGCATTATATTCCTGCCCACTTGCCACAGCAATGAAGAAACTTATTATTTATTTTTTAAATGTATTTAGTACAGGGTCTCACTACACAGATCAGACTCAGTAATCCTCCTGTTTTCAGCCTCCCAAGAACTGGGATTATAGGAGTGCACCACCATGCTCAGTCTCAAATGCTAGCTCAGTGCTCCCCCAGGGAGGGGGTGGGGCTGGTATGGCATGCTGGGGATCCAACTCCCTGCCCCTGTGCCTGCATAAGCAGGCAATTTAATCGCTGAGCTATCCAGCTGGCCCAAAGAAACTATAAAAGCAAGTAGGGAACAAAGAATTAGGCCTTTGTGTCTTCCCAGATGGGGAGGGGAGCACATAGGTTGCCAGTTAATTAATAAAAGTTCTGAAATTCCTTTTAATTTTGTCTCCTGTGGGCAACATATCCAATTCTGGCCATTACAAAACAACAGAATTAAACCACACTTCACAGCAGAATTCTACAAGAAATTTTGAGAAGATTTAATCCCAACTTTTCTCAAACTCTTCAATGAAACGGAAAGGGAAGCAATTCTCCCAAACTCATTCCTGGAGGCAAGTATTACTCTGATTCCAAAACCAGAAAAAGATCCTGGGGCCGGGAAGATAGCTCAGTAGAATAAGCGCTTGCCTGACAAGTGCAAGGGCCTGAGTTCAATCCCCGATTCTGAAAAAAAAAAAAAAAATCATCCAACTAAAAAAGGGAACTACGGGCCAATCTTTCTAATGAATATAGATGCAAAAATCCTCAATAAAATACTAGCAAACAGATGTAGCATCAAGAAGATTATACACCATGACCAAGTGGGATTCATTCCAGGAATGCAGGGATGGTTCAACACTCACAAATCTATAAATGTAATACACCACATCAATAGAACCAAGAATAACAAACACATGATCATCTCAATTGATGCAGAAAAAGCTTTTGACAAAGTACAATACTCATTCATAATAAAAATCCTACAGAGAATTGGAATAGATGGTCCATATCTCAACCTGATAAAAGCTATCAGTGAGAAACCAACAGCAAACATCATACTAAACAGGCAAAAAGTGAAAGTTTTCACTTTAAAATCAGGAACAAGACAAGGATGTCAACTGTCTCCACTCCAATATAGTTCTGGAAACATTAACCAGAGAAATAAGAAAAGAGAGAGAAATAAAAGGAATAAGGATTAGAAAAGAACAAGTGAAATTATCATTTGCAGATGACATGATATTCTACACAAAAGACCTCAAAAACTCCAAAAGTGTTGTAGATTTAATCACCAAATTTAGCAATGTAGCAGGATACAAGTCAACACCCAAAAATCTGTAGCATTTTTGTACACAAACAATGAATACAGAGAAATTAGGGAAACCATGCCTTTACCATCCAAAAAAAAAAAAAAAAAAAAAAAAAAAAAGAAATACTTAGGAATCAATCTTTTATGAAATACTTAGTATGGAAAAAAGATTTACACAGTGCAAATTATGTTACTCTGAGAAAAGAGACTGAAGAAGATTTGAGAAAATGATAAAATATTTCATGTTCCTGGATATGAAGAACCAACACTGTGAAAGTGGCCATACTCCCAAAATCTGTTATACAGATTCAATGGAATCCTGATTACAATACCATTAGTATACTTCACAGAGCTAGAGAAAACTTTCTAAAATTAATTTAGAACCAGAAGAGATCCAGAATATCAAAAGCAATCCTGGGAAACAAAGGAAAGGCAGGAGGTATCATAATTCCTGACCTTAAATTATACTACAAAGCTACTGTGATAAAATCAGCATGGTGGGGCCAGGGAGATGGCTTAGTAGAATAAGCATTTCCCTGGCAAGCA